ATATGGGCAGTATTTCGTGTGCCACAGCCAAATATTGGGGATCTCGCAGCCACCAACTGAGGTCGGAAATTGAACCCGGTTTAACTGAAGCTTTGTGTATACGAGGTGGAGGAGAGAGCACGGCCTCAAGATGGCCTGTTACTAGTGCCTGTTACTGACAGATCGACAGCACAATCATGGGTGAAAGCAACGCTATATCGCTGGTGGAGGGGATTACAAGTGAGGTGCAGAGGTGGGGTATATTGAAGGTGTTTGGGGTGTTGTGTATTGAGGAGTAATGGGTGTAGTGGGGTGTATTGAGGGTGTTGTGAGGGGTGTGAGTGGGGTGTGTTGAGGGTTGTATTGAGGGTGTGTGGGGGTGTGTGGGGTGTAGTGGGGTGTGGTGGGGTTGTGGGGTGTAGTGGGGGGTGTGGAGGGTGGGGGTGTTGTGGGGTGTGTGGGGTGTGTGGGGTGTTGTGGGGGGTGTGTGTGGGGGTGTAGTGGGGTGTGAGTGGGGGGTGTGTGGGGTGTGGTGAGGAGGTGTGTGAGGGGTGTTGTGGGGTGTAGTGGGGGTGTATTGAGGGTGTTGTGGGATTGTGTTGAGGTGTTGTTGGGGTGCTTGTGGGGTGTAGTGGGGGTGTAGTGGGGTGTATTGAGGTGTTGTGGGGGGTGTATTGAGGTGTAGTGGGGGTGTGAGTGGGGGTGTGAGGTGTTGTGGGGGGTGTATTGAGGGGTGTGGGGTGTTGTGGGGGTGTATTGAGGTGTGTGTGAGGTTGTGGGGCAGGGGGTGTATTGAGGGTGTGTGGGGGGTGTGAGTGGGGGTGTAGTGGGGGGTGTGTGTGAGGGGTGTAGTGGGGGTGTGTGTGGAGGTGTTGTGGGGTGTGTGGGGTGTGTGAGGGGTGTGAGGGTGTTGTGGGGGTGTTGTGAGGTGTGGTGGGGGTGTGTGAGGTGTTGTGGGGGTTGTGGGGTGTTATGTAGGGGTGTGTTTGGGGGTGTAGTGGGGGTGTGTGCGGATGTGGTGGGGGTGTGTTGGGGTGTTGTGGGGGTGTAGTGGGGGTGTGTGGGGGTGTGGTGGGGTGTGTGGGGTGTTGTGGGGGGTGTGTGGGGGTGTTGTGGGGTGATTGAGGGTGTTGTGGGGTGTGGTGGGGTGTGTGGGGTGTTGTGGGGGTGTGTGGGGGTGTGTGGGGGTGTGGTGGGGGTGTGTGAGGGGTGTGGTGGGGGTGTGTGAGGGTGTGGTGGGGGTGTGTGGGGTGTTGTGGGGTGTGTTGAGGTGTTGTGGGGTGTGTGAAGTGTGGTGGGGTGTGTGGGGGTGTTGTGGGGGTGTGTGAGGGGTGTGGTGAGGGTGTGGTGGGGGTGTGTGAGGGTGTGAGTGGGGTGTTTGGGGTGTAGTGGGGGTGTGTGGGGTGTTGGGGTGTAGTGGGGTGTAGTGAGGGTGTATTGAGGATGTAGTGGGGTGTGTGGAGGGTGTAGTGGGGGTGTAGTTGAGGGTGTTGTGGGGTGTAGTGGGGTGTGAGTGGGGTGTGAGTGGGTGTGTGGGGTGTGGGGGTGTGTGAGGGGTGTTGTGGGGGTGTGGTGGGGGTGTAGTGGGGGTGTGTGGGGTGTAGTGGGGGTGTGTTGGGGTGTGGTGGGGTGTGTGGAGGGTGTTGTGGGGGTGTGGTGGGGGTGTGTGGGGTGTGGTGGGGTGTGGTGGGGTGTGTGTGGGGGTGTTGTGGGTGTGTCAGAGGGTGTGGTGAGGGGTGTGGGGTGTTGGGGTGTAGTGAGGGTGTATTGAGGTGCTGAGGTGTAGTGGGGTGTGATGAGGAGGTGTAGTGGGGTGTGTGGCTGAGGGTGTAGTGGGGATTGTGTGAGGGGTGTTGTGGGGGTGTGAGTGGGGGTGTAGTGGGGGTGTGTGGGGTGTGGGGTGTTGTGGGGTGTGGTGGGGTGTGTGGGGTGTGTGAGGGTGTTGTGGGGGTGTGTGGGGTGTGAGGGGTGTTGTAGGGGTGTGTGGGGTGTGGTGGGTGTGGTGGGGTGTGTTGAGGTGTGGGGGTGTGTGGGGTGTGGGGTGTGGTGGGGTGTGTGGGGTGTTGTGGGGAATTGTGATGGGGTGTTGTGGGGGTGTTGTGGGGTGTGGTGAGGTGTGTGAGGTGTGTGGGGTGTTGTGGGGGTGTGTTGAGGGTAGTGGGGGTGTAGTGGGGGTGTGTTGAGGGTGTAGTGGTGTGTTGAGGGGTGTGTGGGGTGTTGTGAGGTGTGTGGGGTGTATTGAGGGGTGTTGTGGGGGTGTAGTAGGGGTGTATTGAGGTGTAGTGGGGGTGTAGTGGGGGTGTAGTGGGGTGTGAGGGTGTGGTGGGGGGTGTATTGAGGGTGTTGTGGGGGTGTAGTGGGTATGTTGAGGGTGTTGTGGGGATGTGTGGGGTGTTGTGGGGGGTATTTGGAGAGGTGTGAGTGGGGTGGAGTGGGGTGTTGTGGGGGTGTGTGGGGTGTTGTGGGGTGTTGGGGTGTGGTGGGGTGTGTGAGGATGTAGTGGGGGTGTGAGGGGTTTTGTGGGGGGTGTAGTGGGGTGTGTGAGGGTGTAGTGGGGTGTAGTGAGGTGTTGTGGGGGTGTATTGGGGTGTTGTGGGGTGCAGGGGTGTGTGGGGTGTATTGGGGTGTTGTGGGGTGTGTTGAGGGTGTAGTGGGGTGTAGTGGGGGTGTGTGGTGTAGTGGGGATGTGTTGAGGTGTGGTGGGGTGTGTGGGGTGTTGTGGGGGTGTGTGGGGGTGTTGTGGGGTGTGTTGAGGGATGTAGTGGGGTGTGTGTGAGGTGGTATGGGGGTGTATTGAGGGGTGTAGTGTGTGGTGGGGGGTGTGTGAGGTGTAGTGGGGTGTGTGGAGGTGTGTGGGGGTGTGGGGGTGTTGTGGGGTGTGGTGGGGGTGTGTGGGGGTGTGGGGATGTGGTGGGGGTGTGTGGGGATGTGGTGGGGTGTGTGGGGGTGTTGCAGAATGTGGTGGGGTGTGGTGGGGTGTAGTGGGGTGTGTGGAGGTGTAGTGGGGTGTATTGAGGGGTGTTGTGGGGGTGTAGTGGGGGCCATTGGGGGTGTAGTAGAGGGGTGTATTGAGGGTGTAGTGGGGGTGTATTGTGGGGTGTGATGAAGAGGTGTGTGGAAGGTGTTGTGGGGGTGTAGTGGGGGGTGTAGTGGGGGGTGTATTGAGGGGTGTTGTGGGGTGTGTGGGGTGTAGTGGGGGTGTGTGAGGTGTTGTGGGGTGTGGTGGGAATTGTGTGAGGGTGTGGTGAGGGTGTGTGGGGGTGTGGTGGGGTGTGAGGTGTGTGGGGGTGTGTGAGAGTGTTGTGGGGTGTGAGTGGGGTGTGGTGGGGTGTGAGTGGGGTGTGTGTGAGGGTGTTGTGGGGTGTGTGAGGTGTGGTGGGGTGTGTGAGGTGTTGTGGGGGTGTAGTGGGGTGTGGTGAGGGGTGTGGTGGGGATGTGTGGTGAGGGTGTTGTGGGGGTGTATTGGGGATGTGGTGGGGTGTGGGGTGTTGTGGGGGTGTGGTGGGGTGTGGGGATGTGGGTGTGTTGCAGAGTTGTTGTGGGGGTGTGTGGGGGTGTTGTGGGGTGTGGTGGGTGGCGTGAGTGGGGATGTGGGTTGGTGGGTGAGAATGGTGTGTGTGTGTGTGTGTGTGTATGTGTGTGTGTGGACTCAGGAGAAAAACTTTGGAAGACTGTGTTGGGAAGACTGTGTTGAAGACTGTGTTGGAAGACTGTATTTGGAAGACTGTGTGAGCTGTGTTGGGGAAGACTGTGATGGAGGGCTGTGTTTGGAAGACTGTGATGGAAGACTGTGTTGGAAGACTGTGTTGGAAGACTGTGTTGAAGACTGTGTTGGAAGACTGTGTGCAAGGCTGTGTTGGAAGACTGTGTTGGAGACTGTTGGAAGACTGTGTTGGAAGACTCTGTTGGAAGGCTGTGTTGGAAGACTGTGTTGGAAGACTGTGTGTTGAAGGCTGTGTGAAGCCTGTGTGTGAGACGTGTTTGGAAGACTGTGTTGAAGACTGTGTTGAGACTGTGTTGGAAGACTGTGTTGGAGACTTGAAGACTGTGTTGGAAGCCTGTGTTGAAATGTGTTGGAAGACTGGTGACTGTGTTGGAAGACTGTGTTGGAAGACTGTGTTGGAAGACTGTGTTGGGAAGACTGTGTTGGAAGACTGTTGGAAGACTGTGTTGAAAACTGTGTTGGAGCCTGTGTTGAAGCCTGTGTGTTGGAAGACTGTGTTGGAAGACTGTGTTGAGACTGTGCGGGAGACTGTGTTTGGAAGACTGTGTTGGAAGACTGTGATGGAAGACTGTGTTGGAAGACTGTGTTGGAAGACTGTGTGGAAGACTGTGTTGAAGACTGTGCTGGAGACTGTGTTTGGAAGACTGTGTTGAGACTGTGTTGGAAGACTGTGTTGGAAGACTGTGTTGGAAGACTGTGTTTGAGACTGTGTTGGAAGACTGTGTTGAAGGTGTGTTGGAAGACTGTATGTTGGAAGCCTGTGTTGGAAGACTGTGTTGGAAGACTGTGTTGGAAGCCTGTGTTGAAGACTGTGTTGGGAAGACTGTGTTAGAAGACTGTGTTGGAAGACAATTGGAGAACTGTGTTGGAAGACTGTTGGAAGACTGTGGAAGACTGTGTTGGAAGACGTGTTGGAAGACTGTGTTGGAAGACAATTTAGAGACTGTGTTGGAGCTGTGTTGGAAGACTGTGTTGGAAGCTGTGTTGGAGACTGTGTTGGAAGACTGTGTTGAAGACTGTGTTGGAGCCTGTGTTGAAGACTGTGTTGGAGGAAGCTGTGTTGAAGACTGTTTGGAGCTGTGTTGGAAGACTTGTGTTGGAAGACTGTGTGGAAGACTGTGGTGGGAGCTGTGTTGGAAGACTGTGTTGGAAGACTGTGTGGAGGCTGTGTTGGGAGCTGTGTTGGAAGCCTGTGTTGGAAGACTGTGTGGAAGACTGTGTTGGAAGACTGTGTTGGAAGACTGTGGGAACTGTGTTGGAAGACTGTGTTGGAAAGGTGTGTTGGAAGACTGTGTTGGAAGACTGTGTTGGAAGACTGTGTTGGAAAGAGACTGTGTTGGAAGACTGTGTTGAAGACTGTTGGAAGCCTGTGTTGGAAGAAGACTGTGTTGGAAGACTGTGTTGGAAGACTGTGTTGAAGACTGTGTTGGAAGCCTGTGTTGGAAGACTGTGGAAGACTGTGTTGGAAGACTGTGTTAGAAGACTGTGTTGGAAGACTGTGTTGGAAGGTGTGTGTTGGAAGACTGTGTTGTGGAAGACTGTGTTAAGACTGTGTTGGGAAGACTGTGTTGGAAGACTGTGTTGGAAGCTGTGTTGGAAGACTGTGGAAGACTGTGTGAAGACTGTGTTGGAAGACTGTGTTGGAAGACTGTGTTGGAAGACTGTGTTGAGACTGTGTTGGAGACTGTGTTGGAAGACTGTGTTGGAAGACTGTGTTGGGAACTGTGTTGGAAGCCTGTGTTGGAAGACTGTGTTGGAAGACTGTGTTGAGCATTTGGAAGACTGTGTTGAAGACTGTGTTGGAAAGACTGTGTTGGAAGACCACTGTGTTAGAAGACATGTTGGAAGACTGTGTTGAAGCCTGTGTTGGAAGACTGTGGTTGGAAGACTTATTTGAAGCCTGTGTGTGAAGACGTGTTGGAAGACTGTGTTGGAAGACTGTGTTGGAAGACTGTGTTGGAAGACTGTGTTGGAAGACTGTGTTGAAGACTGTGTTGGAAGACTGTGTTGGAAGCCTGTGTGTGAGACGTGTTGGAAGACTGTGTTGAAATTTCTGTAAGACCATGTTGAAGACTGTGTTGGAAGACTGTGTTGGAAGACTGTGTTGGAGACTGTGCTGGAGACTGTGAGACTGTGTGAAGACTGTGTTGGAAGACTGTGTTTGAAGACTGTGTTGGAAGACTGTGTTGAGGCTGTGTGAGACTGTAGGAACTGTGTTGGAAGCCTGTGTGTGAGACGTGTTGGAGGGCTGCATGGAGACTGTGTTGGAAGACTGTGTTGGAAGACTGTGTTGGAAGCCTGTGGAAGACTGTGTTGAAAGACTGTGTTGGAAGACTGTATTTAGAGACTGTGTTGGAAGACTGTGTTGAAGACTGTGTTGGAAGCCTGTGGAAGAGTGTGAAGACTGTGGGAAGACTGTAGTGAAGACTCTTGGGAAGACTGTGTTGGAAGACTTGTTTGGAGCTGTGTTGGAGGGCTGGCAGTGAAGACTGTGTTGGAAGACTGTGTTGGAAGACTTTGTTGGAAGACTGCTGGAGGGCTGTGTAGAGACTGTGTTGGAAGACTGTGGAAGACTTTGTTGGAAGCCGGTGGAAGACTGTGCTGGAGGACCTGTTGGAAGCCTGTGTTGGAAGACTGTGTTGAAGACTGTGTTGGAAGACTGTGTGAAGACGTGTGTTGGAGAGACTGTGTTGAAGCCTGTGTGTGAGACGTGTTGGAAGACTGTGTTGAAGCCTGTGTTGGAAGACTGTGCTGAAGCCTGTGTGTGAGACGTGTTGGAAGACTGTGTTGAAGACTGTGTTGGAAGACGTGTTGAAAGACTGTGCTGGAAGACTGTGTTGGAGGTCGTTGGGAACTGGTTGGAAGACTGTGTTGGGAAGACTGTGTTGGAAGCTGTGTTGGAAGACTGTGGGCTGTGATTGGAAGACTGTGTTGGAGACTGTGTTGGAAGACTGTGTTCGGAAGACTGGTATTGGAAGGCTGTGTTGGAAGACTGTCAGAAAATGTTGACGGGACAGTGGTAACGTTTGGAAAATGCAAACTGCGGAAACGTGTTGAACGGTAACAGTTTGAGTGGAACATGTGAAACAGGCGGCGTCAGGTGTGGGACCTGTGATTGCAAGCGGGACGTGGAAGACTGTGTTGGAGACTGTGAAACTATGTTGAAAGGCTGAAAATAAACCGTGCGTGAGACGTTTTGGAAGAATGTAAACCTGTGTGGGGGACGCTTGGAAACTGAATTAGCAGTGAGACGTGTTGGAAACATGTAAACCGGCATCAGGACATGATGGGAAGACTGTGTTGGAAACTGCAATGTGTGACACGTTGAAACTGGTGTGGAAGCCAGGTGTGGGGACGTGTTGGAAGACTGTGGGAGCAAGAGCCTGTGTGTGAGACGTGTTTGGAAGACTGTGTTGGAAGCCTGTGTGAGAGACGTGATGGTGGAAGACTGTGTTGCAGGAAGACTCCTGTTGGAAGACCTGTGTGAAGCCCTGTGTTGGAAGACTGTGTTGGAGAGACTGTGTCCCAGAGCTGTGTGAGACGTGTGGAGAACTGTGTGGGAAGCCTGTGTTTGGAGAGGGAGCCATGGTGGAAGCCTGTGTGAGACGTGTTGGAAGACTGTGTTGGAAGCCTGTGTTGGAAGACTGTGTTGGAAGCCTGTGTTGGGAGGAGCTACAGCAGTAGAAGCGTGTGTGTGGCTGGGCACGTGTTTGAGAGTCCTGGAAAGAGTTTGCCAACATTTCCAGAGACTGGTCAAAGGCTTCAACAGATTGCAGAAACATATCAAGACAACTCATGCAGTGGTTTGCAGGTGGTTAGAGTTGGAGGAGTCGTGTTGCATGGTCAGAATGTTGGCTGTGAGTCGTACCGAGAATGGTGTGGGGTCGTGTTGGCTGAGGTGTGGAGGGTAGGTGTTGTGGTGTGGGGTTGTGTTTGTGGTGTAGGGGTTGGTGTTGTGGTGTGGAGGCTGGGTGTTGTGGTGTGAGAGTTGGGTGTTGTGGTGTGAGGTTGGGTGTTGTAGTATGGGAGTTGGGTGTTGTGGTATGGGGTTGGGTGTTGTGGTGTGGGGTTAGGTGTTGTGGTGTAGGGTTGGTGTTGTAGTGTAGGGCTGGAGTGTTTGTGGTGTGGGGTTAGGTGTTGTGGTGTAGGGTTGGGTGTTGTGGTGTAGAGTTAGGTGTTTGTGTGTGGGGTTGGGTGTTGTGGTGTGGGGTTAGGTGTTGTGGTGGGGTTGGGTGTTGTCGTGTGGGGTTGGGTGTTGTGGTGTGGGGTTGGGTGTTGTGGTGTGGGGTTGGGTGTTATGGTGTGGGGTTGGGTGTGGTGTAGGGCTGGTGTTGTAGTGTGGGGAGTTGGGTGTTGTGGTGTGGGAGTTGGGTGTTGTGGTGTTGGGTTGGTGTTGTGGTGTAGGGGTTAGGTGTTGTGGTGTGGGGTTGGTGTTGTAGTGTAGGGGTTAGTGTTGTAGTGGAAGGGACTTAGGTGTTGTAGTGTAGGGTTAGGTGTTGTAGTGTAGGGTTAGGTGTTGTAGTGTAGGGTTAGGTGTGGTGGGAGTTGGGTGTTGTGAGTGTAGGGGTTGGGTGTTTGTGGTGTGGGGTTAGGTGTTGTGAGTGTAGGGTTTGGGTGTTGTGGTGTAGGGTTGGGTGTTGTAGTGTGGGGTTGGGTGTTTGTGGTGTGGGTGTTGTGGTGTAGGGTTGGGTGTTGTGGTGGAAGAGTTGTGTTGTGGTGTGGGGTTAGGTGTTGTGGTGGGAGTGGGTGTTGTGGTGTAGGGTTAGGTGTTGTGGTGTAGGAGTTAGGTGTTTGTTGTGGTATAGGTTAGGTGTTGTGGTGTGGGGTTTAGGTGTTTGTAGTGTGAGGGTTGGGTGTTGTAGTGTAGGGTTAGGTGTTGTAGTGTAGGAGTTAGGTGTTGTGGTGTGGGGTTAGGTGTTGTGTGGTGTGGGGTTGGTGTTGTGGTGTAGGGGTTGGGTGTTGTGGTGTAGGGTTGGGTGTTGTGAGTGTGGGGTTGGGTGTTGTGGTGTGGGGTTGGGTGTTTGTGGTGTAGGGTTAGGTGTTGTAGTGTGGGGTTGGGTGTTGTGGTGCAGGGGTTAGGTGTTGTGGTGTGAGGGTTAGGTGTTTGTAGTGTAGGGTTAGGTGTTGTGGTGTAGGGTTAGGTGTTGTGGTGTAGGAGTTGGGTGTTGTAGTGTGGGGTTAGGTGTTGTGGTGTGGGGTTGGGTGTTGTGGTGTGGGTTGGGTGTTGTGGTTTGGGGGTGGGGTTGGTGTGGGGTTGGGTGTTTGTGTGGGGTTGGGTGTTGTAGGTGGGGTTAGGTGGTAGTGTATGGGGTTGGGTGTTTGTAGGGGTTAGGTGTTTGTGGTGTGGGGTTAGGTGGTGTGAGGGTTGGGTGTTGTGGTGTAGGGTTGGGTGTTGTGGTGTGGGGTTGGGTGTTGTGGTGTAGGGTTAGGTGTTGTGGTGTGGGTTGGGTGTTGTGGTTGTGGGGTTGGGTGTTGTGGTGTGGGGTTGGGTGTTTGTGTGGGGTTGGTGTTTGTGGGGGTTGTGTTGTGGTGTGGGGTTGGGTGTTGTGGTGTGGGGTTTGAGTTGTGTGGTGTAGGGTTAGGTGTTGTGGTGTGGGGTTGGGTGTTGTGGTGTAGGGGTTAGGTTTGTGGTGTGGGGTTGGGTGTTTGTGGGGTTGGGTGTTTGTGGTGTGGGGTTAGGTGTTGTGGTGTGGGGTTAGGTTGTTGTGGTGTGGGAGTTGGGTGTTTGGTGTAGGGGTTGGGTGTTGTGGTGTGGGGTTGGGTGTTGTGGTGTAGGGTTGGGTGTTGTAGTGTGGGAGTTGGGTGTTGTGGTGTGGGGTTAGGTGTTTGTGGTATAAGGTTAGGTGTTTGTAGTGTAGGGTTAGGTGTTGTGGTGTAGGGTTAGGTGTTGTGGTGTAGGGTTAGGTGTTGTGGTGTAGGTTAGGTGTTGTAGTGTAGGTTAGGTGTTGTAGTGTGGGGTTAGGTGTTGTAGTGGGGTTAGGTGTTGTGAGTGTGGGGTTGGGTGTTGTGGTGTGGGGTTAGGTGTTTGTGGTGTGGGGTTGGGTGTTGTGGTGTGGGGAGTTGGGTGTTGTGATTTAGGGTTGGGTGTTGTAGTATGGGAGTTGGGTGTTGTTGGGTTGGGTGTTTGTGGTGTGGGGAGTTGGGTGTTGTGGTGTGGGGTTGGTGTTTGTAGTGTAGGGTTAGGTGTTGTAGTGTAGGGGTTAGGTGTTGTAGTGTAGGGTTGGGTGTTGTAGTGTGGGTTAGATGTTTGTAGTGTAGGGTTAGGTGTTGTAAGTGCTTAAGGTTGGGTGTTGTGGTGTAGGGTTAGGTGTTGTGGTGTGGAGTTAGGTGTTGTGGTAGGGGTTAGGTGTTGTAGTGTGGGGTTAGGTGTTTGTGGTGTAGGGTTGGGTGTTGTGGTGTGGGGTTGGGTGTTGTGGTGTAGGAGGTTGGGTGTTGTGGTGTGGGGTTGGGTGTTGTGGTGTGGGGTTAGGTGTTGTGTGTGGGGTTGGGTGTTTGTGGTGAGGGTTAGGTGTTGTAGTGTGGGGTTAGGTGTTGTGGTGTAGGGTTGGGTGTTTGTGGTGTAGGGTTAGGTGTTGTGGTGTGGGGTTGGGTGTTGTGGTGTGGGGTTAGGTGTTGTGGTGTAGGGTTGGGTGTTTGTAGTGTGGGGTTGGGTGTTGTGAGTGTAGGAGTTGGGTGTTGTGGTGTAGGAGTTGGGTGTTGTGGTGTAGGGGTTGGGTGTTGTGGTGTGGGAGTTGGGTGTTTGTGGTGTGGGAGTTGGGTGTTTGGTGTGGGTTGGGTGTTTGTGGTGTGGGGTTGGGTGTTGTGGTGTGGGGTTGGGTGTTGTAGTGTGGGGTTAGGTGTTGTGGTGTAGGGTTGGGTGTTTGTAGTGTGAGTTGGGTGTTGTATGGGTTAGTTTGTGAGTGTAGGGTTAGGTGTTGTAGTGTAGGGGTTGGTGTTGTGGTGTGGGGTTGGTGTTGTGGTGGGTTGGGTGTTTGTGGTGTGGGAGTTAGGTGTGTGGGTTAGGTGTTGTGGTGTGGGGTTGGGTGTTGTGGTGTGGGGTGGGTGTTGTGGTGTGGGGTTGGGTGTTTGTGGTGTGGGGTTGGGTGTTGTGGTGTGGGGTTGGGTGTTGTGGTGTGGGGTTGGGTGTTGTGGTGTAGGGTTGGGTGTTTGTGGTGCGGGGTTGGGTGTTGTGGTGAGGGAGTTAGGTGTTGTAGTGTAGGGTTAGGTGTTGTAGTGTAGGTTAGGTGTTGTAGTGTAGGGTTAGGTGTTGTAGTGTGGGGTTAGGTGTTGTTGTGAGTGTAGGGGTTGGTGTGTGTGAGGGTTAGGTGTTGTGAGTGTAGGGTGGGTGTTGTGGTGTGGGGTTGGGTGTTGTGGTGTGGGGTTGGGTGTTTGTGGTGTGGGGTTGGGTGTTGTGAGTGTGGGGTTGGGTGTTGTGGTGTGGGGTTGGGTGTTGTGGTGTGGGAGTTGGGTGTTGTGGTGTGGGGTTGGGTGTTGTGGTGTGGGGTTGGTTGTGGTGTAGGAGTTGGGTGTTGTGGTGTAGGGGTTAGGTGTTGTGGTGTAGGGTTAGGTGTTGTAGTGTGGGTTGGTGTTGTAGTGTAGGGTTAGGTGTTTGTGAGTGTAGGGGTTAGGTGTTGTGAGTGTGGGGTTGGTGTTGTGAGTGTAGGGTTGGTGTTGTGGTGTGGGGTTGGGTGTTTGTGGTGTGGGGTTGGGTGTTGTGGTGTAGGGGTTAGGTGTTGTGGTGTGGGGTTGGGTGTTTGTGGTGTGTGGGGTTGGGTGTTGTGGTATGGGGAGTTGGGTGTTTGTGGTGTGGGGGGTTGGGGTGTTGTGGTGTGGGGGGTTGGGTGTTGTGGTGTGGGGTTGGGTGTGTTTGGTGGTGTATGGGGTTAGGTGTTGTAGTGTAGGGTTAGGTTGTGGAGTTTAGGGTTGGGTGTTGTAGTATGGGGTTGGGTGTTGTGGTGTGGGGTTAGGTGTTGTGGTGTGGGGTTAGGTGTTGTGGTGTGGGGTTAGGTGTTGTGGTGTGGGGTTGGGTGTTGTGGTGTGGGAGTTGGGTGTTGTGGTGTGTGGGGTTGGGTGTTGTGGTGTGGGGTTGGGTGTTGTGGTGTGGGTTGGGTGTGTTTGTGGTATGGGGTTGGGTGTTGTGGTTGTGGGGTTGGGTGTTGTGGTGTGGGGGTTGGGTGTTGTGGTGTGGAGTTGGGTGTTGTGGTGTGGGGTTGGGTGTTGTGGTGGAGGGTTAGGTGTTGTAGTGTAGGGTTGGGTGTTTGGTGTGGGGTTAGGTGTTGTAGGTAGGGTTGGTGTAGAGGTTGGTTGTGGTGAGGGGTTGGGTGTTGTAGTGTAGGGTTAGGTGTGGTGTGGGGTTGGGTGTTGTGGTGTGGGGTTGGGTGTTGTGGTGTGGGGTTGGGTGTTTGTGGTGTGGGGTTGGGTGTTTGTGGTGTGGGGTTGGGTGTTGTGGTGTGGGGTTGGGTTGTGGTGTAGGGTTGGGTGTGGTGTGGGAGTTGGGTGTTGTGGTATGGGTTGGGTGTTTGTGGTGTGGGGTGGGTGTTGTGGTGTGGGGTTGGGTGTGGTGTGGGGTTGGGTTTGTAGTGTAGGGTTAGGTGTTTGGTTAGGGTTAGGTGTTGTAGTGTGAGGTTAGGTGTTTGTAGTGTAGGGTTGGGTGTTGTTGTAGTGTGAGGTTGGGTGTTGTGGTGTAGGGTTAGGTGTTTGTAGTGTAGAGGTTGGGTGTTGTGGTGTAGGGTTGGGTGTTGTAGTGTAGGGTTGGGTGTTGTGGTGTAGGGAGTTGGGTGTTGTGGTGAGGGGTTGGGTGTTGTGGTGTGGGGTTAGG